AGAAAACTCCCCATTTTCATCATTGTCCCTAAAATCCACAGTTCTTATGTACTACGATATCTCAATCTTGGTTCATCAACAGTTAGTTTTTTAAAGAAGATTTTTTAGAGTAGTTTCAGCCAACTTCAAATCACGTGTGAACGTCTCAAGCCACTTCAGCTTACTTGCGTCCTTATCATGCATAGAGAAGAATGGAAAGAAGACACGCAAAAGCCGTTCGTTAGCTTAGGCAAATCTGAGTTGTTTCATCTATAATCACCTAGCAAAATAACCTAAACGCGCTCAAACAGTTTATATCAGTGCAACTTTACAATTACATGTGAAGCTGGGAATACTCAAATCAATATTTATCATTTGCATGGTGCACAAATGTGTAGAGAACGACAGAAAACGTAGATACAATATAAATGCAGAAGAAAGACAACTGTAGAAAAAAAAATAAAGAATGCAGGACATGTAGATGTATACAAATCATCCCAACATGAAAACATGTTCTTTTACAAATACCTGTTCATTGTGATTCTCAAAATTTGGAGTGTTTCCTAAACCTAGCTCTTCGTCTTCTAGACTAGCATAGTAAAATGGGTTCTGGAAACTTATTTCGTATTCCTTACGTACAACGTCCTTCCCAGAACAATTTCTTGTTAGCAACCTTATTACTGTCCTTTGATTCCCTCAACTTTCTGCTTCAAGTACTCATCTGCCTTCTCGGCCTGTAAGAGATGCTCATTCCGTCTGCGCTAGGTGATTAGTACACTAGAAAGCACACCTTCATCATGTCCTTTGATGTTCCTGAAGTTGCCTGGGAAGCATCTTCACTGCTTTGATTTTTCTGAGAAAGGATCAGCTAAGAATAATATAATGAATTAATGGCACTGCACTTACCACGTCGTAGTCCACTTTAGCCGCATTCTTAAGGGCCTTTCCTAAATCGCTCATTTTTTCCTGCTCTCCTTCACTCATCTCTTTGGCTCTGCGGCCTAGTTCTAGCACAAAATCCATCTAAATTCAAAGGGGATTAATGTTTTTCAATATCATCATAGTATATGCGGCATTTGCTAAATATTCAAATTTGGTAAAAACTTACAAGATCATTGCTCATTCTCTCTTGAACGCAACCCGGCTGTTATCTGAATAGATCAAAAGAGATGAAAAAAAGCACAAAAAATGGTTTAGCAAATAGAAGGGTAGACAATTCAAGAGGAACGTAAAAGAGACATGTGATTTAAAGGCTGTTGCGGGCTTTTTTTAAATGTGTTGCAGATGTTTACGGCA